TTTTATGTGTATGTACACACGTAATTTATTTGAAGAAAACTTATTTTGAAATGGTTGTTGGAGGTAGTTGACAGAAAACCCTAGACCTAGGTTTCGTGCTATTTGGCACTCATCAGAAAGGTGTACCTGTAATATTGATATTGATAAATCACATTATCAATATTGAAGATTACAGAAATATATGACCTATATTGAGGCATTGTAAACCATATTTCTCACATAAATACAATGTGGCGTGAAATTTCACATAGTTCTTTCTAAATATTTCAATTTACATTGAATACAACAAAATATGTAATTGAGAAAACGGAAGTAGTTGATTGATTCATTAAAAGAATGAAGAAGATTCAATGAAGAGAATTTTGTTTACAATGAAACATTCTCCCATATTGTACAAACATTCCATGTGTTTAAATGAATGGTTACTTTGGTTGTCAGAAGAGGAACGAGGCTCGTGATTTCAGAAGGAACTCGACTTTCGTCACGTGCCTCTTATTTTCATCTACGGTTGTTATTTGGAATAGAATTTCTTTCCTGTTCAACCATGTTCTTTTTTGGGGACTTGTTGAGTGAATTGGTATCCAAGAATACTAAGCAATAGAAATAGCTGGTTTGTAATAATAAAGAATTATTACAGTGTTAAGTTTAAATTTCGCTCTCGTCTGTTATTGAAGCTTGGTCGATTGATCTACTTGTAACTTACTATCCAAATAATAAGAGAATCAAATTCCTATTCGTTTACAAGTAATCAATCCAAAACAATTAGTCCCTTTGATAAATTTCAATAGTGTAATAAGAAGACGAAGATTATCAGAACTATGTGGATACATTAGTGCATTACATTTCGAACAATCTGATCATTCATAATATACTTGTTAAGAACATTTATATATAAGAAATAAAAGGTCAACTAGACTAGAAATGGAAAATTCATCACTCTGAATAATAACCTAATGTTACCAGGGTAGGTTTAAGGTTAGAACAAACTGTTTTTTGAATACATAAAGTGAGTTTGAATTTTCGTATGGCTAAGGCCTCAATAAACCTTGGTATACGCCCTTTTACACTTTTATACAACATCACAAAAGCTGATTTAAGATCAATCTTATGACTTGTTTTGATTATATGTTTTGCAATAGAGGATGATGGATGTTTATTCTTTATTCTTATTAAGTCAATTGATTCTATTTGTTTCTACAACCATTTCGGTACATGTTCACACACCCTAATATATTGTTCTAATGGTAATTATGACAATTATACAGCAAACCTACAGAGTAAAACCTACTAAATACTAAATCGTACATACACACATACATGCATACTTACTTACTTACTTACACCTGTTGCTCCAAATGAATCATAAGCCGCCAACCAACATTCTCCAACCCACTCTGTCCAGGGCCTTCCTTTCTACTTTTTCCCTGAGCTGCATACTTTGACACAGACTACCAGGCTAGCGTTCGCTCAGCAACATAATTCAGTAGTTGAAGAGAATGTGGAACATGGTTTGAAATCGAACCACGAACTTAACAGACATAACTACTGCTTCAGTTTAAGTTGACACGTTTATTGTTCATTTCGATTTGAATTAACTGGATTGTAAACCATATCACTCATGTCACATTCAGAATTAGTACAAAATGTTGGGCAATTTATTTAAATATAAGAGTATTCTTTCAAACAAACAATACTCTAAGATCAAAACTAGTAAGAACCAAAGATCCAGTACACAAGGAGGAACAACAGAATTGTGTTTATGAAATCAAATGTAGTGACTGTAATGCAACGTATGTAGGTGAAACATCAAGATAATTGAATGTGAGGGTGAGGGAACACAAACTAAGAAAACTTCAGAACAAATCAGCAATAGCATTATACTCGACAGAATCAGGTCATACAATTGATTTCAATGGCACAAGAATCCTTCAAAAAGGCTTTAATTTTTACAAAGAGAGATTAACAGAGTAAGCCCTACATATATGGGCAAATCTAAACAGTATTAATAGGACAGATGGAATACAATTAGCTGTCCCATGGCAACTAATCATTAATAAGTAAACCTGAACTCCTTATTCCATTTGATCTATCTCGTATTAACTGAATAATAGAAATTACATTCAACGGTTCTAATCAGACATCTTATCTTGACCCCTTCTGATATTAATCAACATATGCTCACTGGTGACTGGCTTCAAGAGGTGTTTCCCGGAGTTCTAGTGAGAAGCAGTCACCAGTGGAGTTTAATCGGGTCTGTTGTGAGATAGTAAATCAGTGATGACAATGGTGGATGTGTCACTCAATTTCGTGGATTGGTTTAAATTAGACGGGTGAGACTGGGTTTGAATCTCGCGGGGTGCGGGATCGTGGATGCGCACTGCCACTGAAGAGTCCCACAATAGGACGAAACGGCCGTCCAGTGCTTCCAGGTTTTCCATGGTGATCTAGCTTCAATTGACTCATGACCTCAACTATTGCAATTACTAGAATTTCAACAAAACCCTTTCTGATATTATCTGAATATGTTAAACAATTAACTGGAACATTAAAATAACATAAACTTTCGATTAAAAATACATTCTTCCTCTTTAAAATTCATTCTTTTGAATTCACTTGGTATTGTTTGGCTTGTATCTTCTCATTGAGGTTTAAGACTGCAATTGATTAGTCTGTTATTGGCATATGTAAATATTGTGCGTATGCCTCGATATCACAAACTTTTTCATTCTAGGTCATTCTTTTGTCTTCATTTTATTCATGCCGTGACATTTTTGATTCATATCATATATAAAAATAATGTTTTCTTAATATTCACCGACCGAAGACAAAACATAGTTGAATGAAATTTCTTCTCATATGACTTACGTATACACACAATCTGTTATTTTGACACTTTCCGTTTCATACCATATGTCTCCTACACACTAATGTAAATATCTACTTTAAACATTGTTCACGTTGATTGGATGACTTATTCAGTATACAGTAAACCGGAGAACCATGGTACCTATTTATATTTGATCATTTTGATATTTGATTATATTTTCCTTGAAAAAGCTTGGATCAGATTGTCAGGTGAAACGTTGAATTTACTTCAAATCCTTTAGCTGAGATTTTACAAATATATATTCTTCCTCTTTATTAATCTTATCAGGTAAATAAACAACATACAGTATTCACAAGGTTGTATTATATATACTTTTTATATTATTATTATTATTATATTATTAGTATTAGTATTAGTATTAGTAGTAGTAGTAGTAATAGTAGTAGTAGTAGTAGTAGTAGTAGTAGTAGTAGTAGTAGTAGTAGTAGTAGTAGTAGTAGTAGTAGTAGTAGTAGTAGTAGTAGTAGTAGTAGTAGTAGTAGTAGTAGTAGTAGTAGTAGTAGTAGTAGTAGTAGTAGTAGTAGTAGTAGTAGTAGTAGTAGTAGTAGTAGTAGTAGTAGTAGTAGTAGTAGTAGTAGTAGTAGTAGTAGTAGTAGTAGTAGTAGTAGTGTAGTAGTAGTAGTAGTAGTAGTAGTAGTAGTAGTAGTAGTAGTAGTAGTAGTAGTAGTAGTAGTAGTAGTAGTAGTAGTAGTAGTAGTAGTAGTAGTAGTAGTAGTAGTAGTAGTAGTAGTAGTAGTAGTAGTAGTAGTAGTAGTAGTAGTAGTAGTAGTAGTAGTAGTAGTAGTAGTAGTAGTAGTAGTAGTAGTAGTAGTAGTAGTAGTAGTAGTAGTAGTAGTAGTAGTAGTAGTAGTAGTAGTAGTAGTAGTAGTAGTAGTAGTAGTAGTAGTAGTAGTAGTAGTAGTAGTAGTAGTAGTAGTAGTAGTAGTAGTAGTAGTAGTAGTAGTAGTAGTAGTAGTAGTAGTAGTAGTAGTAGTAGTAGTAGTAGTAGTAGTAGTAGTAGTAGTAGTAGTAGTAGTAGTAGTAGTAGTAGTAGTAGTAGTAGTAGTAGTAGTAGTAGTAGTAGTAGTAGAATTAGTAATAGTAGTAGTAGTAGTAGTAGTAGTAGTAGTAGTAGTAGTAGTAGTAGTAGTAGTAGTAGTAGTAGTAGTAGTCGTAGTAGTCGTAGTCGTAGTCGTAGTAGTCGTAGTCGTAGTAGTAGTAGTAGTAATAGTAGTATGACAAGCAACTAATCATTAAGATGACTTGGTTTCATTTTTCTTCTCTCCTCAAAAAATATATTTCCATTATACTTCATTATTTATCAGTTCAGTTTATAAAAGAATGACAACATTCTTTCCAAAAAAGAATATTCACTTTAGTATTTAAGCATAAATTTAATGGAATGCTTGCTTATGAAAGAAGGTATTCAATGTATAAGATTATATTCTATTGCTGAATGCTTTCAACAGATAGTTCATTATTTTCATCTTTTAATTTGTATTTGGCATTCACCTCCATCCATCATTTAAGAGGATATAAAAATAGAAAGACGAAGACAAAGTGATTATAGAAGTGTTGTGTACTTTCTTTTTATTGTGACTTCAAACCCGATTAGTTATTATGTGATTTACTCACCAATTGAAATAAAACTTATTCAATTTGTGCACTGTGCCAAATCAATGACATACGACTGATATGAGCAGCGTAGAGTCTTTATTGGAATTTTGTTTGCCTAGCTCTAAAAGTCTAGTCCACAATGCCAATAACAGCTTCTATTATGCGATGCATTTATTTCAGACAGACTTGGTTTATATACTAACCAAACAGGTTGCATTACACCACACATATTTATACAAGATCAAGTCAAAAAGTAGTTGTGAACGTGGGAGACTGTAATCAATAAACTGAATGTAACGTAAGAACAGTAAATCGTATGATAATAAATTATAGGTCAAAATGAAGCTTATCATAATAAGGAAAATATAGATATACATAATCTAATTACTGAATATTTATACCAAAAGAATATACAGAAAATATTAGTCCATTAATAGATCTCAGAAGTTACCTATAATTCAATCTTCACTAGGATATAACAAGAAGGAAGAGAAGAAATCCATCAGTTTCAATCAACATGTATTATTCAGTTTTGTTTCAAGTCATCCTACTTATTCACCTATTTCACATATCCGTACAGACTGGTAAGTTAAGAAGTTTATTTAAACTACCATTTGCAAATGCACTTCCTCTTATTATGACATATGATCTGGTGTACAAATAGAATCAGAACACTACCAACATCATCATCATGATCAATGATATTTAAAGCTGATCGTTATTCATGTGGATTGTTGAACTTGTCTGGTTTGCCATTAGTTTCTGAATAGTATTGAGATGGAATTTAAACAAAAGTATACCACTTCAATTCAATAGGAAAACTCAAACATTTGACAAAGATCGATCACACCATTGATTAAGTCGAAACTTTTACTTGAGTTGAATACTTTGATGATATTTAATCACTAATCTTCTTTTTGAAATATCAGTTTCCAAGGGTTATCTCAGTTGTAATTTAACACAATCAACATTGTTAATCATACTATATGAAATGTTTATGAAGCGAATGAGCATGAACTTCAATGAGACCGACAATCGATTCCAACAGATTTCTTATGAATAATTTTTATTACAGTGCAATGACATTAATATCTTGAGATGGTGGAGAAGATTTGTAGCTCAGGTGGATGAGTTTGGTGGAGTTTTGTTCTCTGAGCTGAATGGGAGACACAACCAAAACAAAGAAGTAAATAATGATAAATTTAAGGTCAATAAGAACCAATCAACATCGAGGTGTACAGAACAAGCTGTGAAACACATATGGAGCAATTCGAACACTTCACTTCTATCTGAAGTTTATGCTGATGAGGTCGTTCAGAAGAACGATGAAAGCTCCACGACCAAACCATCCAGCTCAGAGAACAAAACTCCACCAAAAATTAATATCTTGTAAGTAATCAGAATCAATTCACTTGAATGTGAAGATCAACATAGAAAAATTAATGAAAATTGTTGAAACAAATACTATTTCTTCTTTACAGATATAAGTTCGGAATATCTGAAGAAAGCTGAAGCTGAACTTGTTGTCATTAAACGTAAGTAACAGTTTTGATATTTACAGTCTATTTATTATACTATCAAACGTATTCAGACTACATACAGTGTTACATACTATATGAATAAAGAAAATCTTTGTTCACTCGTTTGTGTTGATTAATTTGAATTTGATATGTGTATCATACTGTTTGTAAAATAATGTTAGTAGACTAATTGTTTGGTATGATGTGCATAATTGTCTATAACATACAGACATCAATAAAAATTTTTTGATTGAGATCATGAACCGATTGATGTTAGGTCACCATTGAAAAACGGGAAGCACTGCACGACCGTTCCTTTCTATTGTGAGACTTCTCGGCAGTGCACATCCACGATCCCGCTCGCGGGATTCGAGCTGAGGACCTTCAGTCTCGCGCGCGAACGCCTAATTTCTACACCGTTGAGCGACCATGTGCTCACTAGTGACTAGTTTCGTGGGGGAAGCCGTGACCAGTGGAGCTAATCTGTGTCGGGTAGAGATAGGTATCTACCTCAAGACAATGGAAGATGTTCGCGCAATTTCGTGGATTGGTTGAAGTTAAAGATAAACACCGTCGCATGCCAGCCAGCTTAGTGGTTTAGAGTTCAAATCCCGCGCGCGCGATCTTGGATGCTCACTGTCGAGGAGTCCCACAATAGGACGAAACGGCTGTGAAGTGCTTCTGGGTTTTCAATGGCAGTCTACCATCAATCAGTTCATGATCCTAATCAAAAACGTGATGGTCTCCTGAACCCTATACTGATAATCCATAAAATCTGTTTGATTAATATGATATATTTGTTTAAATAGGTTATTTACTGAATTATGGTTCAGGAGAAATTGGCTACTACAATCAAGAAATAACAAAAATTAAAAGTAATTTCGTTTTGTAGTTGTGCATTTCAATGTTTTATGCTCGTAAATGTATAGTCAAATCAAATTTTACACGATGAATGACTGTTTGTATTCATTATTTCCAGTTGTTCAACTAATGAAGCTAGTTCGTGTAGATCACTAACGTAGATGACCTGTGTCGAATGACTAGGGGTCTAAGTCACACCTCACTATCGACACCTAACGTGGATTATTACCCTTTTTTCCTATCAAGGTACTATGAATGCTTTGAAGACCTTATAACATAAAGGACGTTGCTACAGAAATATATCAGTAAGAGTAGGCACAAGGAAGATATTGAAACCACCACCGCATGGACTAGTCCATGGAATGCGGTTAATTGATGCCCGTTGGTTGTCTTTGAACTTGACGAGAATCAGTGAACTGTTCGATATTTAGTGACTTGATCGATGAATGACTTGGTTAGGACTCAGTGACATTTCACTGGCCCTACATTCTAATCCATAAGCACTTACCGGTGTCAGTAACTGTGAAGTCAAATTAATGCTATCACATTCAGCTTTCTTTGTTTAAACTATTTTTGTTTCATTGTCATATTTATAATATAAATAATGTTATTGAAATGAAGGAGGAAATATCAAGATTGTTTGTTTGAACCTCTTTGATGGTACTTGTTGATTTTTTCACAGTGACTTGAATCACAATAAGCTGTGAAACTTTAATTGAATTAAGTACAAATGATTAATATACATAATTAGGTATTGATGACAGTCTTAAATAGGAATATCAGTGTCAAAGTTTCGTGGTTTACAAAACCTCAGCCTAGATGTTTGACCATGTCAATACTCTCTCTATAACCATTTCCATTGTGATGATTTAAGCATCAAAAGTTCCAGTATGAAGACAATGCAAATGCTAAAATCTAGAGAAATTCCAATCGTTTCTCATGTATCAGTTTTCTGAATTGAATAGATAGTAAACAATTAGCATGATAATTCCATAATCAGATCACTTTCATTCAGATTCCCTTACTTCTGGTTAACGATTTTTTAGCGAGTTAGTTTTCTACGGGATGGGGTCGCTAAGCCCATACCCAACTCTCCTCCTTTACCTGGGCTTGGAACCGGCCGTAACTCTAGAAGAGCTACAGGTGAAGTTATTCAGCTTCCTAGTATTGTCAAATTAAATGAATGGAGTAGAGTGTAATTGGTGTTGAAAATTCTGAACTCATGCACTCTATGTTTGTTTGATGGAGCTATACACCGTTTGAATACTAGAAGTTCATCTACATTATCATTTTTATTTCCAATGATCAGTTTCGATATATTCGTGCTACTCTTTCTCATTTTGATATTATCTGTCACTGTAACTTGAGCACACCTATCAGTTATCATTTATTTTATAAGAAAACCTCTTATTTGATTACAAATAGATTCGATAAATAATATGGACACTTGATAATTAGAGTATTGCAATGTACGTTACATAATTTTGATAGAGTTTTGTTCTCCGAGCTGGATGGTTTGGTATGAGTTTATACTGATGATGTCATTCAGAAGAATGACGAAAGATCCACGACCAAACCATTCAACTCAAAGAACAAAACTCCATCAAAATCATTTACCTGAGCTACCAATCTTCTCCACGTTAAATAATTTAATGATAAACAAGTTCCCCCTAAATTTTCGTGTGTACATTTCAGATGAAATAACCAAAGAAAGTCTCGATAAAGTTTGGGAAATAAACGAATGTATGTGAAAAGGAAACAATTCAATTTTTTAATTACACTAATGATTCTAGATATCAACTGCAAAAATAAACGTGAGGCTTCTGATGCAGCTCTTATTTCTATGTCCGGTAAGAGAAATTAGTCATATTCAATTATTTGATATTGATGCAACATTTCATTGTTTAAGCGTTCCATGTTGATTTTCAAATCTATTAACCTACAAATCAATTTCATAAGGGAAAGTGGATCAAGTTCAATATCTAAGAATTTTATTCGTTCTTAATAATGACTAGAGAATGACTGAGAATGCTAATTCGGCATCATATAGTTTATCTTTGTTTAGAAATATCGAGGCAATACACACAGTATGCTTACTCACTTACTTAAGCCTGTTACTCCAAATGAAGCATAGGCTGCCGATCAGAAATCTTCAACCCACTCTGTCCTCCGCCTTCCTTTCTACTTCTATCCAACTTTTGTTCATTCTCCTCATGTCTGTCTCCATTTCTCGGCGTAATGTCTTCTTCGATCTTCCTCTTTTCCTTTGGCCTTGAGGATTCCAAATGAGGGCTTGTCTTGTGACGCAGTTGGGTGCTTTCTTCAGTGTGTGCTCTATCCACTCTCAGCACTTCTTCCTGATACCTTCCTCCACTGGAATCTGGTATGTCCTCTCTCATAGTAGGTTGTTGCTGATAACGTCTGGCCAACGGATCTGAAGTATTTCGTGTGGACAACCATGAACAAACACTTGTATCTTGTGGATGATGGCTTTCTTAGTTCTGCAATTTTTTGCTCCATACAATAGAACTGTTTTGACATTTGTACTGGAAGTTCTAGCTTTGTTGTTGGTTGACATTGATTTTGCGTTCCAGATGTTCTTCAGTTGTAGATCTGCTGCTGTTGGTTTGACGATTCGCGCCTTCACATCTGCATCAGATCCACAGTGTTCATCAATGATGCTGCCCAGATATATAAAGCTTTCCACATATGCCAATAGGAGATTGATCAATTGAAGTCCTAAACATCAATGTAAAGATTCAAGTAAACAATACCAAGTCAACTGAAACTTCACCACATTGTTTAAGTAAGTGGCTATCAGAAATCAGCATCTAACTGGATAATACGATGGCATTTGAAGAGAACTGTACCAGGTTTGAGTCCCTCAGTGAACACGAAATCCGGGATGCAGGTAAATCCAGTTGATGAGTCCCAAATAGGATGAAACGCGCGTCTTGGATTCCACTATTAGCCACTATTCATCTTTGCTTAGAATGCACGTTTATTTGATTTATTCAGATCAATATACATGGTCAGTTGAAATAAAATAGTTTCTATGAATGAGAGTTTTCTGACATTTCTTCTATGAGGAGTTGGTTGATTTATAAATGTTGGAGCCTATAGGTGTATTCTCATTACTTTCAATTGTCTTTGCGTATGATAGAAATAATTAGTTGAAGTTTATTATAATTTCAATATTGCATCAGACCTCTTTTCTTTACAAACATTCCCAATAGTTTACATTTATGTTTTTAATGAGTTGTTTTGTAGCTTTCATGAATTATGCAGAAGCTGTAAAAGCTGAATATCGTAAGTGTTCTTAATAACTCCAAATCTTTTATTATTTGAGTCAGCTTGACTTACTGTAACGATTGTTAAGCATATAAAGACGTCGTTTTGTATAAATTTCAACAAAAAAATAACAACAACACGAACTTGTCGGTAGGGTATATCCGGATCCCAATGTTAACGTTAACATTGAAGATTGAACCCAGTAATTTTAGATTCAAACCTATACTGTACAATCTATAGTGAACATCAATACTAGAAGTAGGTAAGTCCAACTGATATATCTAAAAGTTAATGAAATACGTCCTGCACTCCGTCGGTATCTCCATATCAAGTATATTAGGGTATAATTTTAACTTCTTTTGATCAAAGTGCAAATGTGGCGATAGTGAATGATCGAATTTGGTTCTGATTACTGAGTATAAGGAGTCACAAACCCTTTGTAATACATATATTGAATTAGTGTATTTCTGAAGCGACGTAAAACTTGATATTCTTGCAATATTTTCAATTCCACATAGCGACAATCCATCTGGATTTAACGAAACTGAATATATGTTTTAATGAAGTTGCTGTACATTATAAGAGTACGTCAAAATCTTGAATTACCTGCATTTTATTGGCATACACCTCAATCATTTGTATGCCTCAAATGTTTTAATCGAATTCAATCCATGTTATTTACTTTGTTCCTGCCTTACTAACCCACTTACCCGTTTGATCACTTAATTACTCACTCACTTACTTGCCTACTCCTATAACTCCAAGTGGAGCATATGCTGTCAATCAGTAATCTATAACCACTTTCGCCCTAAACTCTTCATTCCAGTTGCTCCCAAGTGCTATTCGTTTCTTGATGTCAACCTCCGGTTCCCAAAATAATGTGTTCTTTTATCTGCCTCTTTTCCACTTACCTTGAGGAATCCAAGTTAGGGCTTACTTTGTGATCCAGTTTGATGATTTTCACAATGTGTTACCTGCTACATTAGCCGTCTTCACCTGCATTTATTGCTGTATATGGGACAAAAGAGATAGGTTATCTGCGCAGTTCAAATCGTCTAGCTGTCTGCAAACTGTCCATGGTATTCCCTGCTGTCTCTAAGATGTGGTAGTCCTAACAACACATTCAACCAGCAGGTGAAAGTGAGTAGCTTTGCGTGACGTTAGTGTGGAAAGTAATCCGTTGCAAAAGTTCTTTGTAATCTTCTCAAGTACACCATTGTGTCTAAAAAGAACAGATAAGATTCTCCTATACAAGTTGTTTAACGATTTCTCATAATGAAGGGAGTTGATATAAGGTAGTGGGTTCCGCTTAACTGGTGTCACGATTTAGTCAACACACGACCGATCTCTACAGAATTCAACCTGTCGATCTAGAAGCTGTGAGTCTACTGAATCTTTCACTCGGTTAAAAATTTTCTTGATACTAATAGTGGCAACGTGCCTCTGCAGTTTTCACACTTGCTGAAATCTACTTTCTTCGGTATCCATCTTTCTAGTCTCTTGGTACTTGTTCTTCCTCTCAACTCTTTCTAAAGACATTGTCAAGCATTTATGTAGTTGCTTCTGTGTTTACCTACGGTACCTTAGCTGTCAGGTCCTTCTACTTTCCTATTCATGATACACGTTATTTGCTTCCTAATAATTACATTTGTTTCACACTTCACAGATCGCTGTAGATGGTATTACACCATTTTGTTGACAATTGTACTTGCATCTAACAATTACAGTTGGTTCTTTATCTATTTTATCTTTATTAGTGTTTTTGTAATCAGTTTTTGGGTGTTACTATTTCACAAATACCGTTTGCATAGTTACAATAAAGTAACTTAATCTTATATATATAATTTTTCTTACCTCTATTGCAAATGTCTACTTTCATACTAATTTCAGCATGATAAGGCTTACAGTACACCCAATACCCATAGCTCAAGTTCGATTACATGGAAATTCTTATTACATTCAATTAATGAGTGAAATTATTATTTACATATTATTGTCTACAGATATATGCATAGTTCCTATGCAATATAAGTACATCACATATATTACCAAATATTTCGTAGTTCCCGCTAAATTTATGATGACATTCGCAATAATGAATGAATGTCATCTATTTATTTACTATAAACCAGAACAATTATTGATATCAATAGTAAGGTTGAAGCTGTGACCAGTGGAGCTCAACCGGGTCCGTTGTAAGATAGTAACTCCCTGAAAATAATGGTGGATGTGTCGTTCAATTTCATGCATTAGTTAAAGTTAGACATTAACACCGTTGGATGCCGTCCGGCTCAGTGGTCTATTGGTTAAGCGTTCACATGAGATACTGATAGGTCCTGGAGTCAAATCCCGAGGGGCAAGATCATGGACGCGCATTGCTGAGGAGTCCAGTATTAGGACGAATCGGCCGTGCGGTGATTCCAGGTTTTCCATGATGATCTAGCTTTCATTGACTCATGAATTCAACTATAAAATTACTAAAATCTCCACAAACACCCATTCTTATAAAAATGTTAATAATTAATATATATTATGAATGAAATAATCAATTAGGTTTTATATAAGAATTGGTGAAGTGAATAGTCTTTTTTATTTCTCCTTTTCAAATAATTAGAAAGGAAGTTTGATCACAGTGAAGAAACATGTCAAATGCTGACAACATACAGTACCTCAGGTAACTTCACTTAAATTATATTTTATGATAATAATAATACCAGTAGGGGTTTTGTGGATATTATAGTAATTTTATTAGTTGAGATCATGAGTCAATTGAAGTTAGACCACCATGGAAAACCTGTAAGCAGTAACCAGTGGAATTCAACCGGGTCCGTTGTGAGATAGTAATTCACTGAAGACAATGGTGGACGGTGGTTCAATTTCGTGGATTAGTTAAACTTAGACATTAACATCTTTGGATGTCGGCCGGCTTAGTGGTCTAGAGCTGAAGCGTTCATTTGTGAGACCGATAGGTCCTGGGTTCGAATCTCGCGAGGCAAGATCGTGAATTCGCACTGCTGAGCAGTTCCATACTAGTACGAGACAGCCGTCTGGTGTTTCCAGATTTTCTGTGGTGATCGAGCTTCAATGAACTCATGATCTCAACTATTAAAATAATAATAGTAGACAATATAAACATTAATTTACAAAATTGATATTTTGTATTATTTTTATTTGACTAAATACTCGTTTTCTACAGTATCTAATTGTTTTACCACAATACAATGGACTAAGGTAATTACAATAATGAAGTCATGGAATAGCTCATAACCTGTCTAAAATCATATTGAATTAACTGTATATAGAACGTTTGTAAAATAAAAGGATACATGCCATTAACTTGAGTTAAATTGTAGTTCAAAATGAATAATATCAAATGTGACACGTATGAAATCAAGCATTTCATGGTGTCATGTAAGTCTAGTCAGCTAAGACAATGATGAAATCAATATTTTTGTTTTATGGACTAAATAATCAAAATAACTTTGACAGGTCCTGAATAGTAGCTGAGTGGATAACGTGATGATTTCTGAAACGAACGGTACTGGGTTCAAGTCCCAAAGTGAACATCAACTCTTTAGATGGTAGTTGGAGGTAGTCAACAGGAAACTTTGGACCCAGGTTTCATGCTACTTGGCACTTGTCAGCAAGGTGTACCTGTAATCTTGAGGGAACTGGTGCTCCCTGGCGGATTCGATCTCGTGTCACCCAGCTTCATAGTCAGAGACGTTACCACTAAGCTATTCGAGCCGTGACTAACCTCCTGTAGGATTGAGATGTAATCACAATTGATTGATCACTGGGTGGTGATCAATGTCATGCTTGTCTAGTCCTTATTAGTGCAGATCGACTACCATCTAAATCTCAATACATAGTGCCCGCAGTGTCGAGTCACCTAGACTGGTGGCCACATTGCAACATGATCGATAGCATTCGATCTGCACTAATAAGGACTAGACAAGCATGAGATTGATCACCACCCAGTGATCAATCAATTGTGAACATCAACTCTGAAACGCACGTACATCCAGCTGACGAGTTCAAAGTAGAATGAAACGCGCATCCTAGATTCCACTATTAGCCACTATCCATCTTTGCTTATAATTTTGATAGTTATTTGAGAATTTGAGGAAGAGATGAACAAATCATAATGTTCTGCAGTTCAGTTACTTAAATCATATCCATAATCCAATCTCGTTATACAATGGTTTTTATTGGCTTAATGCTTACAACAAATTGAATGATATATTTTAAATAACTAAGATTTGTGGATGCTTCTCTGAAAGGAACTTTTCTACTTTTCTTTTGTTTTCTTTTTAGATTTGGAAGAAATAAATGTTTATATTAGTATGAAATACTATGAAATTTATCAGTTTAACTTCAATCTATGTAAGCAAGATATGAATTATGTTTCATTTACTTATCAGGTAACTATGTGATTTGTAAATGACTAGACAATGGTGATATACAAGCTGAAACAATATCAAGTGAATTAAACTTCAACCCATTGCACAAGCAAGTGGCTATCAGGACTCAGTAGCTAAGTGGATAACGCGATGGCGTTTGAAGCGAACGGTACTGAGTTCGAGTCCCAGAGTGAACATCAACTCTGAGATGCAGGTACATCCAGCTGACGAGTCCCAAGCAAGACGAAACGCGCGTCCTGGATTCCACTGCTAGCCACTATCCATCTTTGCTCGTAATACATAATGTCTAATAACGATTCAGTTTTTAATTGTAGTTAGTGGAAGTAACTTCATAGTGTTAAGATTCAGTTTATTGGTTCTCTAAGAAATCATAGTCAAGTTTAAACTTAATTACACAGTTGACCTACCATATATGTCAAACAGTTTGACTTAAGAAGATCAACGAGTGCATTGGGAAATTGTATTTTGTCTCACTGACTCGATAGCCAAAGTTAGATGAGCATCAAATAAACTTTAGTTATTCAATTAAATATTTCTTCTACAAGCACACTTATGAAGGAGTTCAACGTATGTGTATACAATAGATCTATGCTAGATAAACAGGAAATATCTAATGATGTAATTTCTTATTTTTGTCAATAATGAGATAGATGTCAGCGTTAACGATCATTCATTTACGTAAATTTCAGATCAGTATAAATTATTCTCGAAAATCATAGATATGCTACGTAAGTAACGGATCGAATGACTTACTAATAATGATCTTGTCAATGAATACTTAATACGTTTTCCGTTGTTGCATGTCAACCAAATTATTGTGATTTGACAATGGAGAGGTGTTAAATAATGTTATATGTTACTAACGATCAGTTTAATAGATTACATACACTATACCTATTGAATTGAATTGTCTATTTATATAGATGTTTTAGATGTAGTCGAGTGAAGTGACAATTCGAACAAGTGCTTTCAATTCCTAATTGACACTCAAACATATGGTAGTTGTTTGGTGAGATCTACGACGTGATTGACTAAATGAATCCATATATGTTGAACAGAGTCGATTAAGAAGTTTTATATTTGTACAACCATTCATACCAAATGTACATGTATTTTCTGATTGATTATACTACTGATTACTCACAAATATTCTTAATTAAATTCCAGGTAATAATTGAAATTGATCGAACTGTAGTTCCAAAATGATGATCCGTACTTTATTGATTTCCAGTTTAACTATGATCTGTAATCAGTAGTTTTCTGTCAAAGTAACGAATAAACGCTTTCCTCTTTTTATATTAACAGCATAAGGTATTAATACGTATCCCCTACGAGTTCTTCATCAGACAATCAGTGCGACAAAATTTATTATTGACTGAAATTACTTGTCCGTAATTCGCTGTTTGACATCATTCAGTTACAACGAGAATTGAATTAGTGATTGATGGGGACAAGAATAAAATAAGGAATATGATGTAAAGACTAAAGATGGTGTAGAAGATTTGTAGCTCAGGTGGATGAATTTGATGGAGTTTTGTCCACTGAGCTGGGTCATCGTCAACACAAACGTGTACGTGAAGTTTGGGCTAATTACATAACTTATTTTGCGATGACTCCATCCGCATAAAAGGAGACAATCCGAGTTAAATTAGTCTATATAGAAGATTATCTTAGTGATTTTCCACCTCTTATACAGAAAATGCCTTATTGTACATTATCGCATGGCTCTAAATTTGGAAACCTGCTTAACCGTAGTAGTATTGGTTCATGTGGTTGGTACTTTACTACTGCATAGAAAAGTTCAGAATGGCGTTTTAGTATTGGATCATTTTACATTGTCATTTGTCTAATGACAGAGCGAGATAAATTCTGTATAATCTATATGGAAGGGAAAAAACTGTTTTCTCGTTAATTTAGTGCAGATTTGCTTAATCATATGCCTATTGAATGTTCAGTAGATGACATGATCGACCATTAGATCAAATATAATTTACGAACAAATAGGATATTAGTCCAACATAGACTGCACAGCCAATCTGGAAACCATTATGTCTTATTCACCACCAGATTTAGAGAATAGGGTATCAGAAGCCACTGATAAGACTATGATGAATGTTTGTTCAGACGTCATTCCAATCAACCTATGTGGTATCAAAGTGAGTTGCGAAACTTATATCTCTTTAGTTTGTACTTCATAAACTTCTCTCTTATGGGAAGTAGCAACTAACCAGTGAGTTCTTGGAGGTAGAGAACTGTCAAGAAACATAACGACCGTAAATCACACTTCTGTGCAGTGGTGGAGATCCATTAACTGAACGACAGTTCGGACAGTGGAAGAATCAATAGGGTATAATATCTCATATTGTAGATATGTTTGATGCAAAGTTGGTGAACGGCGTACAAGAAGGTGCAGATAGAAGCTTTTACGTAGATCATTATTTAGTCTCTATCAGTAGTATACATAACTCAGTTACGATAGTAGAAAACCTTGGCTTTATACTCAGAAAGGATGGGATAGATTTATCAAGTGGGTGAGTAACTACTTACAAGTAATCTAGTCATGTTTATCCGATGAACTCATTGTACAGCTTTATCCGCAATTGATAACTTTGTAAAATACATTGACTGTGATTCTGATACCGTAAGTAATAATATTTTCTAAAGCACTTCCAAATAAACGGTTTTCTTGTACATGGTATGATATTGATAATGTATCCTGTATCAATGGCTTTGCTGTTGACACTAATACCTACAGTTCATAGATATGTGCATTCACTTACGGACGTACTAAAGTGATATTTATAACTTTACATCGATTCACAGGCTGATTATAGCTAGTTGACCACTAAAATCGAGAGATGTTCAAAACGTGACTTGATCAAAACATAAGATCGATAAAGTGTGTCAACTATTCTTCTAAAGATTGTTTCCAGGACTTTAAACCTATCGATGATCACATTAGATTCGACCCATTATGCTTAAATCCGATGGTCTACGTTTCTAAGTTCAAGTATTTTGGAAAGCTGATGGTATTTGTATCATACCTATCACCAAGAGTTCAAGAATTTAGTCACTAATTAGCAGACGACTTTCTTTAATAATAATACGTTTGTAGTTTGCGTATATAATTATCATACACCATTTATAATAGGTGGTTAAATTATCACTATGAGATTAAGGATTATGTCATTGAGTGCGAACCATACTACAAGTGAAATAGTGAAGTAAAATAAGATTCAATTAAGTGAAATGTTTCTCTAAAAATAAGCTGAATATTTTAGAGTTGATAAATAAGAAAATACACAGGTTATATAAGTGTATGATTGAGATAATGAACCGATTGATGTTAGACCACCATTGAAAACCTGGAAGAACTGGACGGCTATTTCGTCCTATTGTTGGACTCCCCAGAAGTGCGCATCCACGGTCCCGCGATACCGAACGGTTCAAATCCCACGTGTAGGATCGTGGATGTGCACTACCGATGAGTCCCACAATAGGACGAAATGACCGGCCAGTGCTTCCAGTCTTTTAGTGGTGGTTTAACATCAATCGGTTCATGATCTCCATCAGAAACTTAATAATCTCTACAACCGTATACTGATATATGAGTTTACTTGTATTCAATGATTTGAAACGAATGTTTTGTTTTCGACGGAAAAACATATATCTGAAGTAGTTTATTGAAAGTAAAACACGACTATATTAATGTGCCTATGTTTCAGAGGTGATATAGCTAGGAAGATATTTATCCAAATATGACGCAGAATTGCCTAAAGAATGATTTGTATATTTAAATTACAACCATTTGTCAGTTAAGCTTGTTTTGTTAAGGAGGTTATACTGATCTACGCTTCAAGAATTTACATTCTCATTCTCATGAATAATGTTCAGCATGACCAAAGGAAAGTTTACATAGACCAAAAGCAGGTAAATTGTAATCGATTCAATTCAAAAATGTCATGCATCTAAGATGAGTCAGTCATTTTCGGTAGTCTACTTATATCTGACGATATAAGTAGTATATAATGATCAGAAGTGGAATACCTGACAACAGACGGTTAAGATCAAATTGAACATAACGAGAATGTAAACAGAGATTATTTGTAATAACAATGAAGGAACGATGAAGTTTTAAAGAAACGATAGATTTGCAAATGAAGTATTTAATATATGGTTTTTCATATTTTAAGAAAGAACTCTGAGGTTTTGCGTTATTTAGTAAGTTGATCTTCCCCACCTGTCTTCTTCTTCTTCACTGCAACATTACTGTATTTATAACCATTCACTGTTCAATTAAGTCACTACTGTAAAAATGTTTACTTAAATAGGTTTTTCCTGTAATTATTCTTTAATTAGATGCTATTTACTTAAAAGGCAGAGTTTAAAAGGTTTGAATAATTTTTTTCTGGTTAGCGTCTGATGAACATGGCGGATCTGATGCAGATGTGAAAGCGCGGATCGGTAAAGCAAGAGGAGTGTATTTACAACTGAGGGACATCTGGAATTCAAAGCAACTGCCAACCAACACCAAGGTCAAAATTTTCAGTACAAATATCAAAACAGTTCTACTGTATGGGGCGGAAACATGCAGAACTACGAAAGCCATCATCCAGAACATACAAGTGTTGATTAACAGTTGTCTATACAAAATACTTCGGATTCGTTGGCCGGACACTGTCAGGAACAACCTACTATGGAAGAGAACAAACCAGATCCCAATGGAGGAAGAAATTAGGAAGAAGTGCTGGAAGTGGATAGGACACACATTGAGGAAAGCATCCAACTGTGTCACAAGGCGATCCCTCATTTAGAATCCTCAAGGCCAAAGGAAAAGAGGAGGATCGAAGAACACATTACGCCGAGAAATGGAGATAGACATGAGAAAAATGAACAAGAATTGAATAGAACTAGAAAAGAAGGCGCAGGACAGTGTGGGTTGGAGAATGCTGGTCGGCAGCCTATGCTCCATTAGGAGTAACAGGCGTAAGTAAGTATGTACTTAAAAGGCATCTGCATCAGTATACTCCACTCGCCATTTTACTACTGATATGTACATCTGTTTCATGAGATAGGTTTGGATGCTTTGTAAACAATAAACCGAGTATTTTACAGTTCAATATAACAATACATTGAATAAAGTATGGTCTTGTAAAAATGCAATTTGGTTTGGATATCATAGTATATTTTGTTCAGTTTCAGTTCACATGAATTCAACATTTCACATTCAGTGATCCATAAAGTTTAAATGCATTTTCAGTTGTTATTTGACAAACTGTTTCAAAATCTATTCCTTTTATTTTTGCAATATGTTCACAAACTTTGATAGCTTCATCTGGTTCAGTACGGCTCTGTAATTCAAAATGATGAACAATGCGAGATGTAAGATAAAAATAAATGTTAACAGTTGGATTCAAGAGTCGACTTAAGCTAGAACACTACTGAAAACCTGGAAGCACCGGACTCTTGTTTCGTCAGTGCGTGGGACTCCTCAGGAGTGTGCATCCACGAATACGCAGTCCAGGCTTAAACCAATGACCTTCTGGATTAACATCCAACAGTGTAAATGTCTAACTCCAATCGATCCATAACTTTGCACAACCCCTCACACTTTGTCTCAGGCGGATAATTGTCTAACACCTGATACGGATTGAACTCCAATGATCATGGCTTCTCACAAGAACTACAGTGAATCCATCTTGAAACTAGTCACTAGTGAGCAGAATGGGGATTAGTGTAAGTTGATGAAGGGTCGCGTAAGATTATGGAGGGATTGAGGTTAGACATTAAAACTGTTGGATGCGGATCCAGTGGTTTGGCGATTAAACATTCGCACGTGAAAGCGAAGGTCCTGGGTTCGATTTTCATGTGTGGGATTGTGGATGCAGAGTCCCATACTAGGACGAAACGGGATTTCAACGGTGATCTAGTTTAGACAGACTCATG